TACTCAAAAAAACTTATTGGTATAGTTTTTTATGTATCTAAAATCACAAATCTGTAGTAATTCTAAATTACGTACGGCTTCGTCTTGTTTTATTAAGGTGTCATCTAATAATCTATCTTCACCAATTAATACCTTTTTAATAAGGCTTGTAAAGCCTTGAATGGTAAAATTATCATGTAAGATGGCATAATCATTTGGATAAATTACTTTATAAGCCTGCCACCAGTCATGAATGGTTCATCTTAATAAGGTTTCACAATAGGTTAAGGCTTGAGTTCTATTGTCAAAATTGGTCAAAATAGATTGCCTAATACAATCTTGTTCTCAGTTTTCGATTACCTTTGCCCAGTCTTGGGGATCGTGCCTTGCTATGTCTAATATTGTTCTTGATGATTGCGTTGGTATATTTTCATATTGTCTACGATATTGTGTTAAGGTGTACATATCTGGTATATTTCTATTTTCTACATAAGTTTCTCATGATGGATTTAATCTTTGTCCAGTAGTAAAGTCATCACTTAAGGTATTACTTCCTGAAGTGTTAGTCTTTCTTTGGTCACTCATTTCTTGGTTGATTGAGTGAGATTCTGATACTTCTGGTGCTTTCCCTTCTCTTTGCTCTATTACATTTAACTCTTTTTTTACTGTATTTAATTCTAATGCCATGTAAAATGATTCAAATCCGATACTTAGAATATTTTTCTTAATATCATCATTATTTCCTTGTAGGTTTTGGATACTTGTCTTGCGATGCTTCTAATTCTAAATTATCAAAATCGTACATTATTTTATCTAGAATTTCATCTTCTAATATATCATAAAGGACATTTATTTCTTATGGAGATTCTATCTCTATTAGTGTAGTTAAAAAGTCTTCTTGAGTATCATCAACTAAATTGTCTTGTCATTTATAATTACTAAACCTTATGCTAGCATCTCCGCTATTTGAAACATATATCATATTATTTTCGGGAATCTTTTTAGGTGTAGTTTAGGTAATTTCCACTCTGTTCCATGGGTAATACTACTTACTTTTCTGGCTTCTATCATCTGGATATATTTGCTGCTAAAAGGTTTAACTATTTCACTAAATTGGGTTTTAAATTTTAAGTTATACTGATTAACTGCATTTCCCATAAATAAAGTATTAACTAATAGATTTTCAAATTGTCCTGTCATGTTATATCCTTTTGTAGATATAGCAATCTTAATATGTTTACCGAATTCTCTAGTAGTCATCGTATAATTGGGAATACATCCTACTATTGCGGCATTGTCGGCTAAGTCTATTTTGGCGCTGGCTATTTGTGCTTGTTGATGATTATTCCATCGGTCATCATAAATATAAGCAAGTGCTCTAGTTCCGGTTTCTGCTCTGTTTAATCCTACTAATCCTATCATTATGACGCCTAAATGGATAAGTTCTAAATTATTACCATTTAGTTCTTGGCATGCTTCGGGTGTTATAAGGTCTAAAATAACTTGATTGTTAACTGCACTTATTTTTCGTTGGCTAAAATGATTATATATCTTACTCTGAAAATCTAATAAATTATTAGAATAAAGATTCATTTTATTTTGTACCTTCTTCATTCCTTCTATATATTTTTTAGCATCATGTTCATTATCATATAAATCTTCGACTCTCATTATTTCTTTGGTTTTTCTAAAGATAATGGCCATTGTGGTATTTGCTTATGAGGTTGAAGTTGTAATAAATTTACACGCTTAGCTGTTGTAGGAGAGGACTGGTTATTGACTGACAATTTTATTTCTTTTATTTTATCTAATAATTCAGATAATTCTTTTGAAGATTCTCTAGGAATAATTTCTTGTATTACTTCTAATTTCTCTTCAAGTTTATTAACTTTATCGGATAACTGAAGTAATAACTGAATTAAAAAGTTATTTTGTTTAATATGTATATTAGTTGACTGTACGTCTGTTTTAAAGCTAGTAAATCATATAGGTTCTTTATCAATTTTGTAAAGTTCAGCTAACGCGGTTAAATATTCAGGACTACTGGTGCTCATAAAACTATTGTAATAATTTTTGGATATCGGTTTTAAGGGATTTTAAAGAGTCTATGATTATTTTCTGGTTTCAGCAATATTCTTAATATCACTATTGATTTCTTTAATTACGACTAATATTATCTTGTTATCTAAATTATTTGGACTAGAATTTTGTACTACTTGTTCTTTAATATAACCTAAATTTTCTCCTAATCGTTTTATTGAAGTATCTAAATTATTAAAGTCAAGTTTATTCATAAACTAAAATCGTTGCCGTCGAGCTTCTAAAATATTTTGTATTAATATAATTCTAGATCTAAGTTCTTCAATTCTTTTTTGTAGACTATGTGTTGTGTCTCCTAATTCTAGCGCTATATAGCAGTTCCTAAATGCTGTTTGACAAAATTATAATACTTGAATAAGTTGTTCTTTGGGTAAATTATGCATAAATTAAACTCCGAGGGGTGAAAATATAAATTCAACTTAATAAAAGGCTAAAATAGAACTTGGTTCATGTATTTGTAAATATGTAAACTACGTTTGGCTATGGGTAATATACCTTCACTAAGACCACTTTATTGTAAAAGTCCCTTATTTATATGCTTTATACGTTGGAATAAGAGCGCAGCTATGCCCTGATAGTCAATAGCACCGGGGGCACGTGCCTCTATTAGTAATTTGCATGTTAGGAAATTAATATTATTTTAAATTTATATTAGTAAGTTTTTTTTAGTTATTATTTTCTTACTTAGGAAGTCTATTAATTTTTTTTATATTTTCCATATAAAGATGTTAATATAATACACTAGGTTTACGAATGAGAAATTTAGTTTTTTTTTTTTTTTTTGTGGCTAATTTCCAATTCTAATGATTTTTTTTTTCCCCCATTTGTAAGAAATTTATACATATCACTCACTGAGGATACCTAGGATGGCATGGGCCGGATCTAACCCACATGATGAAGAATGAGCCAGGCAAATGGCCTGGGCCCAAATCAAGTTGTCATGAGACAAGCCCAATGCCGAAGAGTGAAGCTGAAGGCTTGAAAGACGAATGGATCGATGGATACAAAAGCCTCGATGATGGGCCTAATGAAGGAAGTTAGTGAGGTATCTTCTAGAACATTGTAAACAATCCATAAATAGAGGAAAATGAAGGAAAAAAAGGGATCGAAATTTTTGAAGTGTAATGAAATTCTATCAATTTAGATAGGAAAAGTTTCTTGCATCTTCAATGGCGCCGTCTATTGGAATCGATGAGAATTCATTGATGATTCACTCAGATTGATTTGATATAGTGGTATAGCGCTTGAAGACGAAGCCTGATCATTGAAGGCGAAATTAAGATCGGTGATATTCTGATCGGAGAAATTAGCGTTCGATCTACGCAGTTCTGAATTGTGCTTGTTTTGGAGAGCTGTGCGGTCAAGAGTCGCTGAAATTGCTGAATTTGGCAAGTTCGTCGCCGAAGCAATTCAGATCTGGTTAATCACGACCATAATTCAGCTGCGCTAGAATCCAGATCTAGAGCGTCAGTATTGGCAAAACTCAGATCTAATTAGAAATTTGCGGTTGATGACTTTGCTACGATCCGGAATGAAGATTGGAGAAGAGAGTTCGAATCCAGTGGAGAATAACCAGCAGATGAAGCTTGATGAACTGATGAACATGATCGAGGCACTAAGAAAAGAAAATGCAGAGTTGAGAGCTGGAATGGAACGCCAAGAGGTTTCGGTTGCTCCGCGACCGCCTCCGGTGGGTCAAAGAGGCGTGCGACCTGATGACACACATCAAGGTGAGCAAGAAGGAGATAACCACATCAATCTCCACCGTGAGGAGGTTAGGATGGAGAATTTACTGCCAAACGCTCATCGAGCTGAGGATCGAGAAGGATCTGTACATCTTGATCCTCACCGTAAGCATATCAGGCGGAACAAAAATACAGCTTTCAATCCGCATCAGGAAAGGCACAACCGCGAACAAGATATGGAGTTTGATTGTCACAAGATTAACTCGCCATGGCAGAAAGAGTTCACTGAGGAAAAGTCGTTCGATCCACCTTATCGGCCTTCAATGGCCACATATGATTATAGGAGTTCGGAAGAAAGATCTAAAGATCAAAGAGTTGTTACAAGGTTTGAAAAAGAGAATGAGGCACTCCGTTCGGCAGCACGGACGGTTGATTCACCGTTTACTGATAAGATCCTGAATGCTCAAAGCCCGAGGAAGTTTTCCATGCCTGTTTTCATTCTGTTCAACGGAACGACCGATCCGATTGATCATGTATATCACATTCAGTTGAAGATGGCACTGAACACAGAGAATAATCCTTTAATGTGCAAATGTTTTCCTACAAGCTTAACTGGACCGGCGCTCAACTGGTTTAAAAACCTGCCGAGGGGCTCAGTGGACAACTTCTGTAGCTTGTGTAATCGGTTCATAAGCCAATACTATGGGAATCAGCGCCAGGCAAAAGATATCTCTAGCTTGTTCACCATGAAACAGCATGACGATGAGCGTCTCCAAGCTTTTCTTACCAGGTTTAACCTAACCAATAGCATGGTGATAGAGTGCCATCCTTCCACAGCAGTTCAGGCGTTTAAGTTAGCTATGACCGAAAACAATGGACGAGCTGAATGAGAGAGTTGATGGTTTCGTACTCCTGGAAGAGGAAAAAGCAGCTAATGCTAGGAAGACATCTATCATCTCCATAGAAGAGAAGTCCAAAGCGAAGATACGGTAGAAGCAAGTTCCTATGCAGTGTCAGACCTCCTGGAAGGCAGAAAATAGACCTAGGGAGGATGACTTGATTACTCCACTCAAAGTTACGCTGGCAAGGCAATACCAAGAGAACAACGATAAGTTTCGCCCTCCTTTGCCAATTAGACAACCTCTTGAGTAGAGGGATCAATCTAAACATTATGCTTTTCATAGTGATTTTAGCCAACAAACTAATGAATGGAGGAACTTAAAGAGATAAGTGGAGATGTTAATCGCTAGGAGAGAGTTTGCAGGGTATGTTCAAGGACCAGCCCAAGAGCAGAATCGACCAATTGAGCAAGTCAAAAGAAATCAAAAGCCGAATCACCATAACACTCAGCCCGTTCGAATTATAAATGCCATTCATGGTCGACCTGAACGAGCCGAAGAGTCTGAAGAATTGACCCGAACGCATCTTCGACAAGCACAAATGAAGAGACAAATAGGCAGTGTTAACACTCTGCACCAACAAAGCTCAACAACGCCGATAAGGTTTGATAAGACAGACCTGATGCGAGTTTAGATTCCTCATGAAGACCCTTTGGTTGTCAGTTTGACAGTGGCTGAGTGTTTAGTACGAAGAGTGCTAATTGATCCGGGGAGTAGTGCAAATATCATGCCAATGGTCACTTTTGATCGCCTAAAAATCAATCCAAAGGAGTTGAAGTCTACTGGAAACCCACTGTTGGGGTTTGATGGCAAACGGGTAGAACCGATCGGCACGGTGGCATTGATGGTCCGTGCAGCTGAAAGGAACCTTGTCGAAAGTTTCGTGGTGGTGGAAATCCATCCCTCTTACAATCTGCTGATGGGGAGGGGGTGGATACATAGGGTACAAGGAGTCCCATCGACCCTACATCAGGTGATGAGATGCATAAGTCCAGATGAGAGCAAGGTAATAAATATCCATGGAGATCAGGTCGCAACAAAGGAGTATTACTTGGTAACTCTGAAAGCTACAGGGAAGGGAAAAGCTCCTGCCCAGTCTGCTGATGAGCAATAGCAATTACAGAAGCCTTCCCTCAACATGAACGGAGAGGAGGAGCTCCCGGTGCTGACCGAGGAACCACTGGTTGAAGTTTAAATTGATCATTTAAACCCAGATCGGACCACGAAGGTAGGTTCCGGGCTTGCCGAGGAAGAAAAACGTCAATTGGTTGATTTCCTCTCTGAGAACGCCGATTTATTCGCTTGGAGCCATCTCGACATGCCAGGGATCGACCCATCAGTCTCTCGTCATTCTCTTAATGTAGATCCGAACGTCAAGCCGGTGAGGAAGAAGCAGAGAAGGTTCGCCCCGGAGCGCAACCAGATCATTACAGATGAAGTTAATCGATTACTAGAGGTAGGGTTCATTAGAGAAGTACAGTACCCGAACTGGTTGTCGAATGTGGTTGTAGTGCAAAAGAAGAATGGAAAATGGAGAGTTTGCATTGATTTCACTAATCTGAGCAAAGCCTGCCCGAAGGATAGTTTTTCACTTCCAAAGATTAATCAAATAATGGATGCAACAACCGGGTATGAACGACTGACCTTTCTGGATGCATATTCAGGCTACAATCAAATCCCAATGGACCCAGGCGATGAGGAAAAGACCTCTTTTGTCACCGAACGAGGGATCTATTGTTACAAGGTTATGCCGTTCGGATTGAAGAATGCTAGAGCCACGTGTTAGAGGTTGGTTAGCAAGATTTTTAAGGATCAAATGGGTAGGACAGTAGAGGCTTACATCGACGACATGGTGGTCAAAAGCAGACAGAAGGACCATCACTTAAAACATTTACAGGAGGTGTTCGACGTACTAAGAAAGTATGGAATGAGGCTGAATCCAACTAAATGCTCGTTTAGCGTGGGATCCGAGTAATTCCTTGGCCACGTGGTTAACAACAGAGGAATTGAGGTTAGTCCAGCCCAAGCAGAAGCTTTGCTAAAAAATGCTGAACCAAGTACTATCAAAGAGATCCAAGCTCTTACCGGACGCATAGCGGCACTAAGTCGATTCATTTATAAGTTATCCGACCGATGCAAACCATTCTTTGATACAATCAGGGGTCATGGAAAACAGTCATAGGGGGATGTGCAAAGGCAAGCGCTGATCAAGCTGAAAGAATATATGCGGAACTCACCAGTCCTGAACGCTCTAGTGCCAGGCGAGAAACTTTTCTTGTACCTTGGAGTTTCTAACATTGCAACCAGTGGTGTGCTGATATGATGTGCTGAGGGTAAGCAATTCTCGATTTTCTATGTAAGCAAAACGTTGACCAAGCCAGAGAGAAGGTATTCGAAGGCCGAACGAGTAATCCTATCATTGGTAAAAGCAAAAAAGAAGCTCAGGCATTACTTTGAGTCTCATCCTATAGTCGTCCTGACCACATTTCTATAAGGGTGATCATGCATAAGCCCGATTTGTCCGGACGAATGACGAAGTGGGCAATAGAGCTTAGTTCTTTCGACATAGCTTATAAACCCCGAACGGCTATTAAAGGGCAAGTTGTAGCTGATTTCTTACTAGAATGTGATGTAGATGAGCCAGATGAATGCCTTGAAGAATCTTCATAGAAGCTCTTCATCGATGGCTCTTCAAATCAGATGGGAGCATGAATCGGGATCAAGTTACAAACACCAGAGGGCACTACACTGAGCCAAGCGATCAGGCTTGAGTTCAAAGCAACCAACAATGAAGCAAAGTATGAAGCGTTGTTGGCTGGCTTAAGGTTGGCTAAGGAGCTAAAGGTCAAAAGTTTAGTTGCCTTCAATGATACACAGTTAATAATTCGGCAAGTGACTGAAGAGTATGGAACAAAGGATGGACAATGGAGGCATGATGAGCACTGAAAAGCGCACTTTTAAACCCCTTAAGCTTGAGTGTTTTAGGACCTTTATCTATCTTATTTTCCCGTTTTAGTACTTATTTGTGTTTTTATCTATTTCAGGTCAATAATGTTAAAATGGGCTAAAAATGGTTTCTTAAGGCCTTTTTGGAGTCAAACTAAGTTTTAGTGATGATCCGGAGCAAAAGGAGGCTGATTTGGAGCAAAAAGAGGCTGATGCTAAAAATCTGCCAAGTTGGATCGATCCAACTTTCTGAGATTGATCGTAGAAAAAGTGAGATCGATCGAACTTTTCTCATATCGATCGAAAAGTTGGATCGATCAAAAATCAAAGTTGGATCGATCGAACTTTTGCTGGCAGCGAGCTGTCTTATTCTCGTACGCGCCCAAAAGTCTACCTACAACATAGTACGGGATTAGATATTTTTGTGGCTATATTCCTGACTTAGTGACTAAGAAAAGGACCTTCTATATAAATGGAAGTGACCCATTTTGTAAAGAAGCTTTTTATCATTTTATTTTTACATTGTAATTTATATTTCTCTCTCTAGTAAAGTTAGAGATTAGGGTTAGAAGAAAAGAGGGAAGTGGAGGCACATCTCAAGATCCATCTCTAGACCACTTTCTCTCTCCATCTCTAGAACTTCAAAGAAGAAGAAGAAGAAGATGAAGAAGAAGATGGAGCCATATTTGGAGCTTGATTCCATGACCACATCCACCTCCTCCATGATTGGCTAGATCTATACTTAGGGCTTGGATGAGCCCTAAGTCTTGTGTAATCTAAACCCTTGTATTTCTATTATTGGGGAGTTATATATATTGTTGTGATTAGAGTTCTAACCTTGTGAATTTAATGAATCTTGGTATATTTCTATGATTTCTATGGTTTAATTCTTCCTATTAATTCTCTAGTTTGTTTACATATCTATGTGTGATTAAATTAGGAATTATTTCTTACATGATTCATGTGGATTAACTCTTTCTATTGATTTTCTATTTGATTACATGTTATCTTATGTGTGATTATTTGGGAATTGATCTCTACACTAGATTTTCTATGTTGGTTGCATGTCTATATATGATTAATTAAGGATTTAGTGATGGCTAAGCATGGGTTTTCATTGAATGGGTTTGTCAATTAATTTGATGGTTTATACTTATGCTTGATGGGTTATTCTATAATTTAATTCATGCTTATAGGTAGGTAGACAATATATGCTTCCTTCGATATTCCATGGCTCATTATTGCAAATTCCATGATTCTCTAGATTGATGTGTGCTACAATTGTTGCTACTTAGATGGGTCATGCTTAAAATTGATGGGTTGTGCTACACTTAGTTTAGGTAGACAATTCATACATAAATTAGATGGTCCATGCTTAATATTGCAATTGGTAGTCGCATTTTGTTCACAACAATGTATTCCCCATTAATGAAAAGCAAGTGGTTAATTACATAAGCTTAGTGGTGATTCCAACACCCTAAGTCCTCTCTTCATATCTCTTAAATCCCTATCTCTAATTAGTTTTATTTCACTTTCATTTTAATTAATTGTTTTCTAGTTTAATCAACTAATCTCTATCTTTTGCAATCTTGTGATACACTAGAGTTGAAGTTAAATTCCAACACGAATAAGCCCTTGGGACGATCCCTACTCACTCTTGCTACGTTAGTAGTAGTGTTGGTAGTGGTTTTTATAAATTTAAATTTGACCTAAAAGCTTTTCTTGAACCGCACATTCACTACATTATTTTGACGTATACAAGCGGCCTCGTCAAATTTTGGCGCCGTTGCCGGGGATTGACGGTTTTGTTGGAATTAGACTAGATAATTGTGTTCATTTGATTGCTTCTATTTTTATTTTATTTTCCATTGTATATTCTTTTCTCTTGTTCTCATTATTATTTGTTCAATTAGGTACTTGACTACAAGGAAAGCAAACTTTGGAACTTGAAGCAATAATTGGAACTTAAAGCTAACATTAAAATTTGAAGTTCCTTAAGGACCGTTGTGAGCAATTCTTGGAACTCTTGTATTTTAATTGTTTCACTTCTTTGCATGTTTGTGATAGCCCTTGTTGAGGCTTATTCTATTGCTTTATTTTAAGTCCAAGCACAGGCCCTTGTGGAGGCCAATTTTTTTTCTTGCATTTAGATTTTGATTGTGAATAGAGGAATTGTTTGATCCAAGTTTGGGGGGAAATTATATCCCTTCACGTTATGATCCTCCATCATGTTTTAATCCTTATGAGATTGAGTCTAATTCATTTCATGCATTACCTTATTATGGACTTGATCACTCATTTAATCCTTTTTATGACTATTGCCCTCCCCCACCATTTTATGATAAACCAACTCCACCACCTTCTAGGTATTCACCCGAATTTGAAGAAAAAGTGTTAGCTTTACTTGATGTGTATATTTCACAAACTCCACTTATTAATTCTCATTCTCAAACTTTACCAATCTTGAAGCTCAAGTTGAGCAAATTGCAAGTACTCTTTCTCATCAAGAGGAGGAGGAAGAGGCAAATGAAAAAATGGCAAGAACTTCAATGTATATAGATGAGGATGATGAGAGTGAAGAGGATGAAACAAGTGAGCTAATGCCTAGCACTCTATCTTGTATAGAGGAGGAAGTGGGAAGTAAGTTAGTGGCTAATCCAATAGAGCATAACATGATTAATAAGATACCCCTCGGATCTGAGACACGGGTTGATCTGGCCCAGGCCCAAACCCGAGGGAATATCAAACAATTAAAGTATTTTAAAGCTAACACAGATGACAAAATGAAATAATAAAGATAGAATAAAGTTGAAAGAAATACTAATTATAAAACCCTACATGTAACTGAAAAATAAAACTCCAATCCTCCAAAACTTCAAGGTTACAACTTGGGAATCCACTGGTGGACCCCTAACCAAAAGTTCAACTGAAACTGAAAACTGAAAATAGATAACGCTAGAAACATCGACAGAAGTCCTACGTAATCAGCTGAATGTGAGACTAGCCTCAACAAGCACGATCAAGCTCTAAGGCTGGAACCGACCTGTACCTGAAAAAAATAATAAAGGAGTGGGTCAGACCCACGAGCAAGTTCAAATTTAACTGCAATCCATACAGTAACCCGATAAGCAGATACACCGTAGACACCTCACAATATCTATCTAGTCC